CAGATAAAAATTCTGAATTTTAATAGTACATCACAACATTCATTCACGTAAGCTTAAATTTCTTTTCACACAACCGAGCAACTTGTAAACAATGTTGTTTACAAAGATGAGCTTTTGTATACAATATTTGCTGCATTGCATGAAATGTGTCAGAACTTTACATGATATATAATGTAAACTTATATGATATGTGACGCTCCATCTATGTGCATCACATTGAACAGAAATTTACACTACTTTTTCGAACTGTGTACTTACAAAAGCCCCACAAACATGTAGAATCTTGTTACGGTATTAGGTTTTGAAAATGTTTGCCTATTTTGCATATTTTGTTGAAAAATACCAGGTTTAAGAGATAAGGAACTGCCGTTATCTAAAAAGTTGTGTCTTTGAGTAGAAGAGTAAAAAAAAACATGTTCGAACACAGTAGGCCGTGGAAAAATCAAACAAATAAGTTATAGCTGAAAAATCGATTGGGGGGAGGGGGGCGCAAGGAGGGTTTGGTCCTATTAAAAATACTTCATATCTCAATAAAAATTAGTAAATTGGTCTCTGGGGAAATGTTTATGGAAGCTTTGTAGGAAATTTCCACATCGGAATTCGTCAAACAAAAGAGATAAATTTTTGAAGTCGCGTCCTTATGAACCTAATTTATGGACGTGCCTAACGGCTTCTCTCAACACATCAACTTGATTAAACTTCAACTTAGTGCACTTTTTAATTTGACGTAGGATTACGTCTTTCGGCAACATATTAGGCGTGCAATTTCAAAAAAACAAAAATCGACCGCGTACGAAAACTGGTCAGGTTTTGACCACTTATAACGCTGTCAATAGCGGATGTATTTTTATTCTAAACAAGCCAATCGATTGGAAATTTTTCTACAAATTTGCTAAAATGAACACTTTATCAGTTTTCAATAGGTCACTATTGAAAATTACACAAATGTCCAACTGTTGCAATGTTGATCAAAATTAACACCGATTGTCTGCAAAAAGTGGTTTCCCTAACGCAGATTTCAAAATGGAATTCCATCCGATCTCCCCGAATGGTGCTTATTCATTCACCGTGTGTGATGGTGCCCGGTGGGTCGTCATCATCAGCAGCAGCAGCAGTGCTTTCAGCGCGTGGCATTGAACATTGTTCTCCAGTACACAACGAAAGGTTTCCCGCAAGCAGCAAGCTGCAGCCCACACAAGCGTCAAGAGATGAACTAGCCTTAGGCTAAAAATCACTCTAATAAAGGAAAAAAAACCACACAAGCGTCTATTCACTGAAGAAGTAGGAAGAAGCTGCCGCACCGCTACTGATCGGATTCAGTAGCTCTTCGTGAGTCGCTGTGGGCCATCAGGCGCGTCACCCTCGTTCCAAACAAACATACAGCTCGCCAGCTTCATCTGTGTTGAACACCCTTTACTCAACCCTTTACAGCATTACTCAACCATCACGACAGAACGGTCCTTTTCAGGACCACACTAAGTTTGTTAAAGAATATTTTCTGAACATTTGTCAAGGTCATCAATCGGATGTCAGTTTCTATAAGTTTAAATCTAACATACCATGTATTTTCAAGACAACGTCAAAAACCAAAGTCGGTCGCGGCATGAGAGTTAAAGTTTGTTAAAATTAAGACTTTATCTATTTAGAAGGTCACTATTGAAAACTGCACGAATGTGCAACTGTTACTATGATAGTTAAAATTATAACCGATTGCCTGAGAAAAGCGCTTTCCCTAACACAGATTTCAAAGTCGTCCATCCGGTCTTGCCGAACGGTGTTTATTCAATCACCACGGTGGGGTCCGGTCGAACGCCTCCCGCAAACAGCTAGCTATCAAAGCTACCCTCAAGAGCCCTCGATTCACCGAAGAAGGAGGAAGAAGCCGCACCGCTACTGATCGGATTCAGTTGCTCGTCGTGAGCCGCTGTGAGCGATCTATGCCAAGCGAGTCACCCTCGTTCCAAATACCCTAATTTTGCATCAGTCTGCTGTGCACTGTTCGGTGGTTTCACCTACAGCTTCACACTTGATTAAAACTTAATTTTGAAATAATTCCTAGTCGAAGTGAAATAATTTACTTTTCATCCCTCACTGATTTGTAATAACTAATTCATTTGATAAGCTACATATGTTAGATCAGATTGGATCAGATCTGTCAAACGATATGAATCGCAAACCAATGAATCACTTATCGCATATTAGCTTATTGCGTGCTCTAGATGTGTGTGATTAATGTTCTAGGTGCACTTCCTGAGAGCCTTTGATGTCTGTACCATTTTTGCGTTAGTATAATTGGGTAGCAAGTACAATCATACTCTATGCCTAGGGAAGTCGAGAAATGTTCCAACTCGAAAAATTCCTACACCGATCTAATCTAATTGAATCTAATCCAGTCACCTGCTGCATGGTCTTGCTTTGAAGCTGCACCTTTACCGACTGAGCTATAGGAGGCCCAACCAACAAACACTCAACACCAAGCCCTACAAAACAAAACAGATCGTAAACAGACCGAAAATTCGAACGTAGCTAAATCATTTAAAGATTTATATCCATCCAAAAACTGAAGTGCTAATCCCTAACCACAAAACAGAACAAAATTATATAGGGGAAATGGCTTTAATATTGGCCTATGGATCTAAGATTGGGTCCATAGCTAAAAATCTGCTATTTATCAATTTTATCTAGATGTAAGTGTCATTGGGACGGTACTAATGGATATTTCTGGTCGCTTTTGAAAATCTAGTCGATTGCTGAATTTATGTATGGGCCCAAATTAGGAGCATTTAGGCCGACATTACATCCATTTCCCCTACAATGAACTTCAAAGTGTCGCTTTCTTGCGTACAGGTTAATACAAATTTAGAGACTTGTTTCTTTTTTTGTTTTTATTTGTTTTCCGTCGATCTTGTTTTCCGTGCTGAGCACCAATGCTACCAACGTGCCAGGAAGGCAGCTCCCACACCTGGCCCCTACCTATCGACCCATCAATGAGATGCTATGCCTCAGAACATCCCGGCGGCGCCGACTGGGATTGAACCCAGGCCTGCTGGGGTGAGAGGTAATCACGCACACCACTACACCACCGGCGTCGCTATCTAGAGACTTTTACAAGTGTGTAAATTTGAAGGCATATTGTGGCATATCTGCCGATGTCTTCGACCACATTTCTCTGAACTATAAAATGCAAAACTTTGCCCAAAAAGGACGCTCCGTTCAAAATATAGTTTCGAGCACCACCTATGCGGCAGAAATGCGAACTAATCAGAAGCCCCCAAAAGCTGGCTATTTGTAAACTGAACAACTTTGTCCAAAATTGCCAATCTGTCCACGGTGCAAGAGGTTCGTTGCCCCACTGTGCGGTGTCAATATCTCTATTTTTTCTAGAGTAGTAGCTCTTCAATGCAATGAGAAAAACAATGTTATATAAACTTATCTTATTCAAAGCAGTACATATAAAAATAAACCCTCACTCTTCTCAAAGCCGAGTTAAAGACCGTGAAAATACTGGCTTTGATTGAAACAACCGAAACCCGATGCCGGAATGGTTCATCCTCAGAAAAAAACAGCCTCCTCAAACAATTTCCATCAGATATTTGTGTTGATTAATTCTTTCCGAATCAAAGCGACAAAGCAAACTTTTCCAATTATGAAAAGCATCGTTCCTGTGAAATGTTCATTTCATAAATTAAAACACAACAGGACGTTGGAAGCAACCCACCCGCCCCTTTGATCATATCTTCCGATTCGGCAGCTCGAAAAGTTGCTCAACACACTGACCCAAATGCGAGCATTAAAGCTGAGGGATTCTCTTTCCAAATGAAATAATTATAACATCCACGGCGCCGAATTCTTTCCCGCAGCATGGAACGTGCCCTTCTGCGACGGCATGCATTCAACATTTATATTAAGATTAATAACATCTATCCGCACGGAATGAACGCCAGCCAAAGCGGGGCAGCGTGTAGAGATAAAGCACATCATTCCATTCCGCTAGCCTCTGGGTTCTCTTTCTCTCAGTTATCACGGGTTTGTTTGCTTCTAAATCACACAGCAGCAGCAGCAGCAGCAGCTAGAAAATGTGACTTTCATACCCGATTAGCGCTAAGACCTAACAAAGGTCTGGTGTGTGCGATGAGCCAGCAAACTAGCTCAAAAGCTTTGGCCGTCCTAATCTCTGGCCTCCTCCCGTGCCGAAGTTTGACAGTCAAGAAAATGAAAAAAAGAAAGTGGATTGAGGGAGGAAAAAAATTGAAAAGTAAAGCAGAACCGTGAGAATTGTTCCCCCGGGGCATGGACAGTCCCGTGCCAGTGAAAAGTGTCAAAAGTTTGCACAAATGCACAACAGTGTGGACAGCATCAGCTGAAGTGCAAAAAACTGTCACCCGCATGAAGCTGCTTTCGTTTGAATGAGGAAAACAGAACATTCAACGCCTGCCTCGATTCTAGGTTGCAGTTGGAAAAAAGTAAAAAGTAATCATCGTTAAGTCAGCGCCTACTATTCTCGCGATAGCAGTGTATTAACAATAAGTGAGTCCTAAGTTATTGATCAAGTGTCGAATGACGGTGAAATACGATGTGGAAAGTGACACTAATGTGTGGTTGAGAAACTATGAGGTAATTGTCTGTCTGTCAATCAAGCCAAGCCACACATAAACAAACGCGCAACATTGAATTATCTCGTTAAGTTGCCATGAAAGGAGTATGTGTGTGTGAGTGTGAGTGGCTCTCGAATTATTCGGGCACTGTGGAACTATGTATCTGCTGCTTCCCACGCTCGCTCGCTTGCTAGATGATGGCAAATGGCTATGGCAAACAGGAAGATAAGCCCGTGAAAAATATGTCAGATTTCATTAGGTGTAGACCCTAGTTCCGAGAGTTGTTTGTTCTTGTCCCCCTTTCGGTTGTTCTTCTTGTTTCATAGCACAGGGAAATGGGTTTAAGCCAAGGGAAGGTGGGGGAGCTTTCTATCTGTCCTACAAGCGATAAACTGTTGCCCATACCTTGTCGTTTGTGCCGTTGAGGCTGCAGCCACTGCGGTAGCTCCTTCGTCTTCTCTAAACCCGGACGACCACCCCACTTGGAGGAATTCGTCCGGTGCGGTTCCTGTTACTACCTGCCCCTCTTGCTGTTGTTGATCCGTTCGATGTCCTCGTCCGAAGCAGCACTGCAATCCACCAGAGATGTGCGGGTAAATATTTTGGTTCAAGCGTAGCAAGGCATAACAGCACTCCTGGTGATTCTCCTGCTGTTCCTGCCGCTGCTGACTGGTGCAAAAGTGCTCCGTTTTTGCGTCCAACTCGGGAACCGTCTCCTCCTCCTCCACCTCGTCCCACTGCTGCTGCCGTTCCTGTGTGTAGTACGTTAATCCTTTGGCAATCGATCCGCACTGCCTGCTGCTGCTTTTGCCTGTATTGCCCCGCCACTTTTCCAACCCACCCCACTTTGGCAACGATACGCTTGCCTCACTTCCTTCCTTCGGCCGATTTCTTCTGATTCCTCACACGCGCTTTTCACACTTCACACCCAAACACTGAAAAAAGCACGCACTTCGGTTTTCGCAACAAAAGGAAAATACAACTCTTCGAAATATCGCAACACAACTTTTGTTAGTTTTTCGCCTACTACGATCGGGAAAGGTAGAGTAGAGTAGAGTAGAGTAGGCCTTTGCGCTCGACCGCACCACTTGACGCGCTTCGATTCTTGACACTGCTCACAGCACACCGAAAAGAAAAAAAGGAAAACTCGTCCCGCTCTCGTCGCTCCTTCTAGGAAAAGGCGATTTTCCACAGATCCATCCCCTTCACACACTCGGAAAACCCAACAGCATCGAGCCCCCTTTTCTTTCTACAGATCGAACAGTCGGGAACAGGGAACGACCGAATCGGGAACCGATTTTCTGGAACAGGAACAAGAAAAATCAATTCTCGGGATGGCTAGGGCCGCCTGGTGCTACTGCTGCTGCTTGTTCGACTCGGGGAAAATGTGGGACTTTTCCTCCTTCTTTCTACCGCTTCTCACTCACGATTTTCACTTCACTCACACACAACAGGCACAGCACAGCACAACTAGTGGGTAGGTATTAACACTGGCGAGCGAGCGAGCGAGGATCGAACTGACTGGTTTGGATGGCTGAAGAAGTGGCCTGTCTTTCTCGGCGGACGCGTTTAAAATGTATGTTTGCGGGACACTTCCTGGATTAACACGGTGCTGCTTCTACTGCTGCTGCTGCCAGTTGGTCCTGTCGGGATTCTCGTTCTCTCGGCAGCGGCACTCTCTTGGACTCATTTTCCTCGTGCTCGAGTTCTGATCTTCATGGCGAAGACGGCGGCGGCGGCGGCAGTGGCGACGTTGACGGTTGACCAGAGCAACCAAGCAGAAGGCCATGGAAGTTGTCGAGTGGGAGATTGAGAGCGTGTGAAAATCTCCGAGAGAGAAGGACGCCACGAGAAATGTTTGGCCAGTGATGCCAGACGCCGGTTTGGGGTGGTCTAATTTTATTAGTGATCTTGCGCGACTTTAAGGTTGTGTCCCAATTGCCGAGTTAAATTTAGATCGTGGTTTAAAGTGACATTTTGAAAGTTATTTTCAATGTTCAAAAATTTAACTTCTAGTCTGTCAGAAACAACTACGTTCGGATATCAGAGTTGTTAGATAACATTCCATCTGTCGAGTTAAATTTAACGCGCCAATTGGGACACAGCCTAAGTGAATTTATCGACGTAAAGATCAACCGAAAATCAATTAGAATAAATTTTCTAGATATTATGGTCATTCATGAGTCGAGATAATAAATACAAAAGCATGACAGTGAGAACTCCATTTGAGTTCCTGTTTGCGATTTCAATAGCAACATTGTTTGACCATGTTAAAACTAACTTAGAAACGTCTCAAAATTAGCTTCAATTGGCAATTGGCATGAATCTACCCTTTTAACGACATAAGATTTCCGACAAACATTCCAAGCAACATTGTCGCTTCGAGGTTACTTTTCAAGAGCATCTGAATCGCTATATTACTCGTTTCGTCATCGTTGGGGAGCCACGCTCTGAGTAAAAAACAAAATAGTGCGTCTCCACAGTGACGAATCCGCCGGGAGGGCGGAAACCACCCTCACTCACAGCACTGCCATCGATAGCCACCTAACCCAAGATCAGACTGCGTTCGAACTTGAGAGCCCGTCGAAGAAGGCCACCGGCTCTGGCCGCTCTTCTCTCCATATCTCTTTCTCCCTCTTTATCTCACTCACATCCGGAGAACCAAGCGGAGAGCGAACGAGCCTCTTTCGGGAAAAAATCAATTTTTCCAACGCAAGCGCAGCGCCACATCAACAGGTCAAGTCTCGCCGTTTGGATGTCCATGGGATCCATCCATCCATCCGTCCGTTCTGGCGGTTGCCAAACATTGTGCGATGTTCTCGATGTGGAGCAGCTCTGTGGTGAGTTCAAGGAATATCGCTCCTAGCGCAAATGTGTCCCCGACCACCAGACCAACTCGCTCCAACTCATCAGTCCCGTTGGTTGTTAGGAGAATGTGGAAAATAAAGAAAAACTCACAACATAGTAGGCACTGAAACAAGGCCGTCAAGAGGATATCCTCCATAATACAATGGCACTAAACACAGTAGGCTCTGGTTTCTGTCGCGCGAAGCGGCGCTGCCTACTGCTGGTTGTGCTTTTTGTTGTTTTGTATTATGTGATCCAGCGTTGCCAGGTTGTTTTCAAGCTTATCGGTATGAAAGGTTTTACTAAATTAGTGTTTACTATTTTAGTTAATTTTATATTTTTGCCGTTTTCGAAGGAGATAATTAAAAATTTTAGACTAGGAACGGCCTTTTCAGGAAAGTCGGAAAAAATTCTGGGGAATGATTCAATTGGCTTCTAAAGGAAGAGCTTTGAGTGGGTTGGTTTAGTTCCTTTAAATTCCGTTATAATTGCTTATCTTTTGACAGATACGCGTATTTCGTCTACTACTTGCAGACTTCATCAGTGCCAAGTACTCAACACCAATACTTGGCACTGATGAAGTCTGCAAGTAGTAGACGAAATACGCGTATCTATCAAAAGACAAGCAATTATAACGGAATTTAAAGGAAATAAACCAGCCCACTCAAAGGTCTTCATAAAGGGATTCCGTTAAGAGGTCCGACAAATTTAAAGGATTGATTTTTCTAAAGGAAGCCGAACAAGCTTCCAGCAAAAGAAGAAATAAGCTCTTCTGGAGGAAGTTTGCAGAATTTTTCTAGAAAAAATCCGAAAAACTTCCGGAAAAACCTTCCCATAGATGACGGAAAATATCTTCGGAAGATGCTCATGGAGAAACTTCCTGAGGAAGACGAAAGAAACTTCTGGGAGAATTCGATAGATACTTCCGGTAGAAGTTTTAAGGAATGTTCTGCAAACGCTGGAAGAAACTTCCTGAGGTAGTTTGGAAGAAGCTTTTGAAGAAAGTCAGAAGATTCTTCCGGTGGAAACCAGAGGGCTTTTGGGACAGCCGGAATAAACTTCTTGGAGAATTTGGGAAACAAATTTCGGACGAAAGAGCTTTCTGGGAGATGTCGAAAGAAATTTCCGGAGGAAATCGGTAGAATCAAGGAAGCTGGAAAAAATGGCCAGAGAAACGGAAGAACTTGTAGAGCGAAACCAGAAGAAGCTTCTGAATGAGCAGGCCTGTCATGGAGGTTAATAATGGTTTTTCAGTTATGTAAACCAATTTTTTTTAATCAAAGCTAATTGGGCGCAAACATTGATATGTTTCTACATCCGTTTCTCTAATAAAAAAAATGAAGGGACAGCCCTATGGGGTTATACGTAATGGTGACGTAGGACTACGTGGTCTTATATAATAAATCTTATTTTTTAACTGCAGCAGGAGCTTGTGTTTTGTGTAGGAATAGAAATTTGAGCGGGGTTCTCTCTTCTCTTTAGTATGACGCGCTTGTCATAGATGGCCCACAGCGACTCACGAAGAACTACTGATTCCGATCAATAGCGGTGCGGCTTCTTCCTCCTTCTATGGATGATGTTCATGTGGGCTGCAGCTCACTGCTTGCAGGCAGCCTTTCGTTGTGTACTGGAGAACACCACCACTCACCACGCTTCTTCTTCTTCATCATCGCATTTCAAGCTTATTGCGTATGGCATATTAGCTTATTGCGTGCTCTCAACTTAGTGTTCTAGATGCCCTTCCACAGTTATTAATTGAGAGCTTTCGATGCCTGTACCATTTTTGCATGAGTATAATTGTGTGGCAAGTACAATCATACTCTATGCCCAGGGAAGTCGAGAAATTTTCCAACCCGAAAAATTCCTAGACCGAACCTGGAATCGAACCCAGCCACCTCCAGCATGGTCTTGCTTTGTAGCTGTGCCTTTACCGACTGAGCTAAGGGAGGTCCCACTCACCACGCAGTGATTGAATAAACATCGTTTGGTGAGACCGGTTGGAATTCAACTTTGAAATCTGTGTTAGGGAAATCACTTTTCGCAGGCAATCGGTGATAATTTTAACTATCATAGCAACAGTTGCATATTCGTGCAATTTTCAGTAGTGACATTTTGAAAAAGTATAAAGTTTTAATTTTAACAGATGCGTAAACATATTTTTGATCGATTGGTGATAAAATTATTGAAATTGGTCAAGGGGCAGCTGAGTTATTAACGTTCAAAATCTTTCATAATTTTGTTACATTTTCTATTTTAGGTTTTCACAAAGTCTACCCCCATATAGAAATCACAAACGTAGTTCTACGTCAAAAAAACTGTGCATCAGGAATGTTTTGGTCGTGTTTTGGTTAAAATTTTGAATTAACATTTTGTAAATTCAAAATCAAAAGTTTGATAATTAATCCACCTAAAAATATGCAAATATTGTGCACCCATCAGGTATAAAATTTGTAGAGCGTATAAAAACTTCAAAAAGCTCCAAGAACTACAAAAGTCCAGAACTTTGTGAGAATTTAAAGATCCACAAGGTTCCGTGAACTTCAGGAAAACTTCATGACAATTTCATCAGTTTCATGGAAATTTCAGCAAACTTTCGGTAAGTTCAAAGAGTTAAGGAAAATTTCAGAGCAGTTCCAGTGACATCCACAAAATTATGGAAATTTGTTAGGAATTCCGAAAACTTCGAAAACAATTTGAGAACTTCAGGTCCGTTCGATCCACTTCAGAAAAATTTGCTGAAGGCTCTAAGAACAAAGTCTACCAAAGTTTAAAGATGTTGGAAGTTGCTTCCCCCGTCAGGAAAATTTCGGGAACTTTATTGCAGTTTCCTGGAATCTTTAGACTTTATATTAGTTCGATTAACATCAGAAAGATTGCGACCACCTACAAGAACTTTTAAGAATTTCTTAAAAAAAAATTTCAAGAATTTAAAGAAAGATCCAAAAATTTCTGGGTAGTTCCAAAGATTTTAAGAAAACTTCGAGAACTTCAGTGGAAATCAAAGTGCTTCATGGCAGTTCCATACAGGAAAAAATTAATGGACTTAGCTGAATTTACCAAAACTTCAGTTAATATTAAAATTTTTAGGAAAGTTACGTAACATCGAGCAGATCTGAGACCTCAAGGCATTTCCAAGATCATCAGAAAAATTTCGGGAGCTTCAAGGAAGTTCCAAGTACCTACTTCGTAAAAATCGCAGGAACTAACAAGATGCTCTAAGAACAAAGTCCACAAAACTTTAAAGAAGTTGGAAGTCCCTCCCCCCGTCAGGAAAATTTTGGGAACTTTAATGAAGCTTCCAGAGTTTATGGACAATTTTTAAAACTTTATGTTAGTTCGATGAACATCAGAAAGATTGCGGGAACCTTCAAGAAGATCCGAGAATTTCATAAAAATTCCAAGAATTTAAAGTAAGTCCCGGAAACTCCAGGGTGGTTCCAAAAATTTCAGGAAAATTTTGAGAACTTGGGTGGAGATCAACGTGGGCCAGCAGCATTAGAAAATTTCAGCTTCTTGATGGCGGATTCGATGAGGTCTACTGTAACCGAGGTAATCGAAAAATTGAAAGCATGGGTTACGAGTACGACAGTATTTACGGAGGGTCTTCGATCTCAGACGCTTCAAATTCCATAGTCGAGCATTGGACCATACGGGTTTGGGAGAGGGTCTCCTTAATGGGACAGAATCAGTTATTGCCCGGCCAACGACCTCAGCGAAGTAGTTGACGGCTTCA